TGAGAACCACTGACCTATTTCAATAATTTCTCAACATCACCTATCCCTTATCCAATTTCCCTTATTGTCTTAAAATATCTTTTTACAGTTGGTTTGCTTGAATATTTTTTTAAAATATATTTTATTGATTTTTTACAGAGAGGAAGGGAGAGAGATAGAGAGTTAGAAACATCGATGAGAGAGAAACATCAACCAGCTGCCTCCTGCACATCTGCTGGGGATGTGCCTGCAACCCAGGTACATGCCCTTGACCGGAATCGAACCTGGGACCTTTCAGTCCACAGGCCGACGCTCTATCCACTGAGCCAAACCGGTTTCAGCGGTTTGCTTGAATATTATCTAGTATTCTGTGCTCCAGCAACACTGAACTGCTTGTCACTTCCCTAAATTTCATGTACCTTTGCCTGAAATGCCTGCCATTGCTACCTGGCACAAGATCACCTTGGGTGTCATTGCCTGCTTGTAGCCTTCATGATTGCTCCAGTCTAGATGGCCTGTCCCTCTTGTGTGTCGCATAATGCCATTGCTTTGTCTTAGTACATATAGTTCCACCATTCTATAGGTATGTATTAAGAATTACAGGTGCCAGGTACCATACCAGGCAGGCATTAGGGATACAGCAATCCAACTGCCAAAGCTCCCACATACCCAGTGAGTGTGTGTGTGTGTAGGAATCAATAAACATGAGTAAAATAATGCTAAATGGTATATAAATAAGTGATATTTTGGAATTCAGAGGGCAGGGTAGCTACTTTTAAATGAGGTGGCCAGGGTATTTTACTGAGGTAATGCCACTGCAGCTGAGAACTGAATGAAAAGGAGCCAGTCTGAGGAAGATCTCGGCTTTCCAGGCAAAAGAACTTTTATATATAGAGACCCTAAAGTGAAGGGCCCGGTCTTAGCAGGCTCCATTTATGTTGGTCTTTACCTCTACATCTGTAGATCTCATCCTTTCGGGGATTATGAAAACTCCTTTGAGTGTTGAGAATCTGATAATAGCTCTGGCTCCTTGGCCCAGAAAAATGTACATATGCACTGTCACACGAATTTGCATACCAGTTCTCTAGTTCCTGAAGCCTGCCCAGACTGGGTTCACATTTACCACAGGAGCAGTGTCTAATACTGATATCTAATATGTGCCTTCCTTCATTATCTCTTTGACCCCTTGAAAGTATTCCATGAGATAGGTATAGGTATTATCCCCATTTGATAGATGAGACTAAGGCTCAGAGAGAGTGAGTTACTTGGCCAACATCACATAGCTAGTCAGTGACAGGGAGGGGATTTAAACCCAGGCAGTCTGAGGCCAAAGTGCCTATGCTGCATTCATGCCAAGACTCTGCTGGTCAGCTTGGGGCCCAGCACTGAGCAGGAGGTTTGGGGACTTGTTCTTGGCAAAGGCAGGGGAGGAGGAGCTGTTGGAAATTTCTGTGTACAAGTTTAGAGATGTCAATGCCTGCTTGGTCTAGAAGACTAGTTTGCTTCCCTTCCTTCTCTTCCTCCTCCCTGTCCTCCTCTTCTTCCTCCTTCTTCCTTTTTTGTTGAATTATAAGATTTGATTTTCTTATAAAGAAGCCTTTCAGCCTTAGAAAGAGTCTTTTAAATATAGAATTGGAAATATACTGCTCTCTCTGTGACAGTAGAGGCAGATCCACTCCTCCAAAGGGGAACTGGCTTGGGATTTTTCCGTTGGCTTTTAAAAAATTATTTATTTTTTGGACTAGGTAATATATTCACATGGTTCAAAAATCAAAAGGTACAAAAAGGAACATAGTGCAAATCTCCCTTACACTCCTGCCACCTGCCACCTGGTTCCCCTGCCTGGAGGCAACTGAGGTGCCCCAGTTTCTTGTGTATCTCTCCAAAGATGTGTGTATGTATGTGTGTGTGTGTGTGTGTGTACAGCTTAAACTTCAGCCCCGCTTTCTGTCTCTGGCCCCCATGAGGGCCTTCGAGATAGTAGAGGCCAGGGGTCTCCTGGGAGCTTTGGGCTTTCCTCAGAGGTCAGCCTTTCCAGGTCCATTTTCATGGCAGTGCCTCCTGCACAAACTACTTTAGACTCTTTTCAAAGTCCTTCCATCTGTGCTAATTTATTAGGCATTCACAATAGCCCATGAAGTGCAAATATTATCTGCCTCATTTTATGGGCAAGGAAACAGACCCCGAAAGGTTGAATAACTTGCTGAAAAGCACACAAGTAATTAATGTTGTCGTGTGGTGAGGTCCTGGGAGCAGCATGTGGCTTGGTCCAGCTTGGACTTTGGAAGCAATAAGAAAGTTGTTTACACCAAAGTCACAGCTTAAAAATATTTAGTGGCACTAGGTGTGGGGTAGTGGAAAAAGTAAGAGAACTCGAAGTTCCAGCTGGGTTTGCTTCCTGGCTCTGCTACTTAAAACTTGGCAAGTTACTTCACAGTGTGTAGCCTCAGTTTGCTAATCTATGAAGTGGGGATGATAATACCCACCCAGCAGGTGGATAGTGACATAGTATAAATGAAAGTGATTTGTAAAATGGGGCATATTCCAATGCTTGCTTTGCATTATTATTATAGTTATTGTGGTCTAAGCTGAGACAAAGGCAGCTGTTTCCTGAAGGGAAGGCAGGCTCACATCGGATACGCACCCTCTAACTACCTTATCTAAAAAGACTCTTGCTGGCCCAGTGACTTGGAAATCAGAAGCCATCCAGCCTGACTGCTCTTCCTTGTCAGCTCAGAAACACCTGGATGGTTAGAACAGCTCCAGGGTGTGAACACATACTCTTCTTCCCCAGTGGGTGTCTTGAATTCACTTTAATCTTTATCTTTATAATAGGAAAGATTTATTTTTCCTATTAAAAAAACTAGACTATGCTTACTAGAGAAATTTTGGAAAATATTGAAAAATAGAAGGAACAAAAATGAAACCATCCTTCTACCTTCCTCCCTTACAGAAGCCTACCTCAATCAGTATTTTGCTGTATTCCCTTTCAGTCTTTTTTTCTCCTAGGTACTTATGATATCTCTTAGCAGAGCAATTCCTTTTTTTTTTTTTACAGCTCTAGTGAGGTATAATTGATCTACCAAGAGCTGTACATATTTCAAGTGTATAATTTGATAAGTTTAGAATTGAGCAGGACAACTCTTAATCTGTCTTCCTTGCTTCATGAATGTCATGCCCACCTTTGAATATTTCTATTTTAATTTTTAAAAATTTAAAATTATTTCTAGTTCTATCTATGGGACTTTTTAGCCTATATTTTGTTCAATAAGAATCTAATGAAAAGGAGTCTTAAATGCCGTTAAGGTGGTGTCCTCTCTTAGGAATGGGTCTGGCCGCTGGGAGGCCTTGCTTTCCAATGCTGAGACTGGAGCTGGGGCTCTCTGCAGTTCCCCCAGTGGTGAGGAGAAGGTGGCATTGGCTAACCAGAGGGAAAGGGCTCTTTGTTCTCAGGTCCATTCCCATTGAAAGGAAAATGGAGCACTAGTTATTCACCACTTTACCAAGTGGTTGCCCCTCAGGGCTCAGGTCTTCACAGGAATTGGGGTGATGACTGTGAGGATGGGTCCCCTACAAAGCATTGGCATACGGGAGCCTTTGAGATACAAAACTTGGTGGTTGGCCTCTTGCAATCTGGTAATTCAGAGTTCCCATTCCCCTTCCTTGGCCTCTCCCATCCCCAACTGCCCCATTCAGCGTCCACCCCCTTTTCTATTTTGTAACCTCCCTTCTTTTTTGGTATAAGTCAAACTGCCCTTAAGCTGAGAGTATATAATTAGAATAGTGGGCATTTGAAGTGATTGGTATTCCTAGCTGATCAGGCATCCCAATGCTCTTTAGTAAAAGGTTGGCTATTCCCATGTGGGGACACATTTAAGGCTTTTTCCACTGCCTTCCGTGGAATGCCTCTCCCAACTCCCCACCCTATCAGAGGCCTAGAGAAATACAACTCATCCTACAAGGCTCAGCTCAAATATCATCTCCTTTGAACCTCTCTGGAGGCTCTCTCTTCGGTGCTCCCACAGCTCTTGGTTCAGGAAGGTAACAGAGTATGAAAAATATTGGGATCTGGCTCTTTACCTCCTCCTTCACCTTGTCTGGAGTTCCTATATGGCCAGGATGGAGCTGTGTCCTTTTCTCCTATCCCAGTCCAAGTAGTCAAAGGAGCTTCATAAATATTTGGGGAGCCAAATTACAAAATCATGACATTTGGCTTCCTCATCTCTCTCTCTCTCTCTCTCTCTCTCTCTCTCTCTCTCTCTCTCATCCTCATTTTGCCATCTTTCCTTCTCCCTGAGGTTACTGTAACACCAACACATCACAACTGTAACCCATATTCATCAAGTGTGCTGACTGTCTACACTTGACAGGGAACTATGCTCTCTATTCATCAAAATGCCCCTCTTTGATCTGACATGTCACCTGCCCTTCCCATTCCTCCTCCCTGGATGCCAGCAAGACCATCTCCATGGTTGCAGTGTTTATATTCTCATGAGCCCTAGATGGACCCTAGCACAGGACAGAGCTTGGTCTTCTGTCCCCAGAATTTAGTGGGGATACACTAGTTCTTTAGTGGAATTCAGCACTCAGAGTCAGCTTCCTAGGCTGGACCAGAGCAGATCATGGAAGCAGCAGGGTTATTCTTGATATTTCAGGGAGAGAAAATGTTTAGAGCTGCATGTGCTGTCAGGCGTGCTTTATAATGAGGACAATGGGACAAAGATGTAGGTTTTCAAATATTTTATTAAAAACAAAATAGGTCAATAATCCTAAAAACAACAGCGGTAGACTTCTTCCCACCTCCCAATCTACTATCATTCCCCTTCACCAAGGTGCTACCTGATGGTTCTGAGACCCAAACCCTACCTCTCAGCATCGCCTAACTGAAGAACTGCTGACTAAACCTCCATGCTTTCTTCCAGCTTCTTATCTGCCCCCTTTAAGAAAATAAAAATACCCCCTTCCCAACTTGCTTAAAAATAATTTTCCAAGATTAAAAATGGCATTTGTGTTTTTTAAAAAAATAAACATTTTAAATGTTGGAAATCTCACTCTTCTTCTAGGCCTAGTTGAGCCTCTGGGGTGTCTGCCTGCCTCACCCCAGGAGGCCAGCTGCCACTTGGTGCCTCTTGGAAATTTTCAGGAAGTAATTTCTTCCAAATTTCCCCTGCAGTCACAAATTCCACACACTGCTTGCATAAACACGCTGTCTTCATTATAGGCGCTGCTCTTCGGCTCTGGAAACCTGATCTCTTTTTGTCAACTAGACCACATGCTTCAGATTCCCTGCAAACAGGAGAGAAAACAAAATTCAAATTCCGGTAACATATGTGCGTTACACCTCAATAAAGCTGTTTTTAAAAAGCACTTGCATGTTGCGACTTGTTCTCTTGCTGTTTGGGGGAACCCAGAGACCCCAACATATGGACCAGCAAGTCCAAGTTAGCCTATTAGATGGTAAGAGTCATATGGCCCACTTACTCCAGCCACCACCAGTCACTCATCAGTCATGTGAGTGAGTGAGGCCTTTGACAGCCAACAGACTGCAATGCTGGTTGAACCCAACCCAAACCAGCAGAAGAATATCCAGCTGAGCCCAGCCCAATTGCCAATCTACAGAGTCATGAGCTAAACAAGTGACTGTTTTAAGACACACACACACACACACACACACACACACTCAGGCAACACTTCACTAACTGCATTAAGTTTACACTTCACTAACTGCATCACATTTCTCCCCACTCCCAACCTTTCTTCCCCATTTAGCAGGGGACAAATCTCCTAGTATTTTCTCTTGTGAACATCTGTGAGATATGAATCTGGGCTTTTCCCTGCCCTCAGACCTAAGAGTTTTTGAGGGACAAGTGACCACTTGAAATCCTACAGGATTGGGCTCTAGGAATGTACAGTTTGCTCACTTGGTCCTTTTGCAGTGTTTTCCTTGCTCTACACTGGGCTCCAACCATTACTGACCATTTCTCCTCTAAAACAGGAAGAAGGCACTGGGACCTACTTTTGGTTCATCTCCAAAGTCTAGCACAGTCCCTCACACAAAGTATGTGCTCAATAAATGACTGCATAAATGGATAAATGAAAGGAAGGAAGGAGAGAAAGAACAAATTAGCACTCATTACCTATCTAGTTTTAATTTTAAATTAACATACAGTACAACTGACTTTTTCTTATGTTCATTTCTGTGATTTTTAAAAAGATATATTTTTATTGATTTTTTACAGAGAGGAAGGGAGAGGGATAGAGTTAGAAATACCCATGAGAGAGAAACATCAATCAGCTGCCTCCTGCACGTCCCCTACTGGGGATCGAGCCTGCAACCAAGGTACATGCCCTCGACTGGAATCAAATCCAGGATCTTTCAGTACATGGCCCGATGCTCTATCCACTGAGCCAAACCGGTCAGGGCATTCAATTCTGTGATTTTTAACACAAGTATAAATTTATGACACAGAACAATTCCAGCAACCTCCAAAATTGCAATCTATCCTCCCCAACCCTTATTACCTGGCAACCACTGACTTATTCTCTATCCCTATAAGTGCTGTCTTTTGGAGAATATAATATAAGTGGAATCAAACAGTATGTAACCGTTTAAGACTGGCTTCTTGCATGCAGCATGATGCCTTTGAGTTTCATGCAAACATTTTGGTATGTCAATAGTTTACTCCTTTTTATTTGGGTACTTACCTTTTTAATTATTATAGATTAACAGAAAGTTGTGAAAAAGAAGTACCAAAAGGTACTTCTTTTTAAATTTCTCCAAGTGGCAAAATCTTATGTACTAGTAATTATTATTTAATATCAAAACTAGAAAATTGACATTGGCACTAATAACAGACCTTAGTCAGATTTCACAAGTTCTACATGTACTCATTTGTGTGCGTGTAGATGTATACAGTTCTATGCAGTTTTTATCACATGTACATGTCACCCTCACCAGAAAGAGATTCAGAATATTCTACCACTACAAAGATTTCTCTCATGCTACCTTGTTACAGTACTCCCCACCCCCTTACCAAACTAGCTCTATAATTTTGTCATTTTGAGAATGTAATATAAATGGAATCATACAGTATACAACTTTTTTTGAGATTGACTTTTTCACTCAGCATATTGGCCTTAAATCTATCCAAGTTCTTGTGTGCATTAAATGTGTTCCCTTTTTATTGCACAGTAGCATTCCATGGTATGGATGTAGCACAGTTTAACCAGTCAGCCATTGGAAGACATCTGAGTTACTTCCAGTTTTTGCCTCTCACACATAAATCTACTATGAACATCCATGTGCAAGTTTTTTGTTTTGTTTTATTTTGTGGGTTTTTGTTTTGTATGAACATGGTTTTCATTTCTCTAGTATAAATGCCCAAGAGTGCAGTTGCTAGATTGTATGGTAGTTGCATGTTTAGTTTTATAAGAAACTGCCAAACTTTTCCAGAGTGGTTGTGTCATTTTACATTCCCACCATGTATGAGTGATCTTTTGCACCATTCTTGTCAGCATTTGGTGGTGCCACTAATTTTTATTTTGGCCATCCTGATAGGTGTGTAGGGATCTCTCATTGTGGTTGCAATCTGAATTTTTCTTTTTTAAAAATATATTTTTATTGATTTCAGAGAGGAAGAGAGAGGGAGAGAGAGAGAGAAACATCAATGATGAGAGATAATCATTGACTAGCTGCCTCCTGCATGCCCCCTACTGGGGATCGAGCCCGCAACCTGGGCCTGTGCCCTGACCAGGAATGGAACCTCCTGGTTCATAGGTGGATGCTCAACCACTGAGCCACAATGGCCGGGCAATCTGCCTTTTTCTAATGGCAAATGATGTTGAACATCTTTTCATTTGTTGGCTTGCTGCTGTCTGTACATCCTGTTTAGGTCTTTTGCTAATTGGATATATATTTTTTACAGTTGAGTTTGGACAGTTCTTTATATATTCTAGATGCAAGTCTGATATGTGATTTGCAAATATTTTATTTCAGTATGCAACTTGTCTTTTTATTCTCTTAATTCTTACGAAGCAAGTTAATTTTGGGCGGTTATGCTTTTGGTGTTTTAAATCCCTATCCTCAAAGTCTCTGGATGATTCTTCATCTCTTAGTTCAAGACCCCTCTACATCTTATGAGTTTCCAAGCCTAACCTCAAGATGTCTCTCAAATTTGTCCTTTCTGTCCCACTGTCTCCATTGTAGTTGTATCTCTTATCACTCAGGTTACTGCAAGCACCTCTTAACTGGTGCTCCTGCCTCTGGAGCTTGTTCCTCACCCAATTTCATAGCTGTGACCATATGCTTCCCCTGCTTCCAAAAAATGGCACAAAACTTTAGCAGTTCCCAACTACTTATAAATGAAGTCCAACATATTAGCTTAAGCGTGAGTTACCCATACATTCCTATCTCCACGTGGGTCTTTGTTTATCTTATTGCCTCTGCTGAGGAAAACCTATAAGGGATCCTGGTGCTGAAGTTAGGGTCTTTCCACCTGTGAGCATAGCCAGAGCTTTATGAATGAGTAGATGCACAGATAAACAAAATTCCATGTCCAAGTGTTCTAACAACACGTTTACAGAAAGGAAAGGTAGGAGCTGTACTCTCTGCTTCTCTGTATCACTCTCCACTTACATTTGGAGGCAATTAAGAAAAACAACAGAAATAATTTCCAGTTGATGATGAGCAATATTGAGTTTGGGAAACAATACAAATGCGAGCTTAAATAATGCCCATTGTTTCCCCCTCACATCTAACTTTTCCAGCAGTGGGTGGCAGCCTGAGAAAATTCTAAAGGCCATCATGTCTGAGACCTGGGGAGACCAGAGGAGGTAAACGCAAATGCTTAGCTTAGAGGCTAAGAATGTACTGTATGTGAGTAAAGCAGACTAGGGGCAAGATACATGGAGGCCCCTTGATCCTTTTTTTCTTTTTCCTACTTTGAATCATGACATAAGAAATAGTTCCTCCATTTTCTTAACTCTATTATGAAAGAAACCAAAATCAAAACAGTGTAAGTGAGATGATAAATGGGAACTCACACTTGGCCTAGAATAAGAAAGGGAGTGGTGGGGTCTGTGGCAAACAGGAAGGTACATGCTCATAAAGGGGACAGCTGCTACTCAGCTCTAGCCATTCGTGATTGTGCAGGAATGTGGGCCAAGATCTTTCCACTTTCTAAGAGATGTCAGAAATTCACATTTTAATGCAGGGTTTCCACAGTGTTAAATGTGAATAATTGATTTAAATTTTTAAAGAATTTTGTATGGGACATCAGTATGTGAGGCCAAACAAAACAGTTTTGGAGGCAAGATGTGACTCATGGGCTCCCAATTCGTAATCTCTGGGATAATTCTGACTTACATCTATGGCACCCCATTTTACTCTCAAATATCCTGGTTTGGACAATAAATTATATCGTCACCCTACCTCTGATGCCTAAGTAGGAGGACTGAATTCGGACTCAGGAGGCCAGGGTTCTACTGTTCATCAACTGACTGGCCCATCTGTTTTTCCATTTATTCAATAAACATTTATGGAGTGTTAATTCTTTGCCAGGTACTAGGTGCTGGTGAATACTCTCTTTAATCTTTTTTAATTAATAGACTTTATTTTTAGAGTAGTTTTAGGTTTACAGAAAACCTGGGCAGAAATTACAGAGAGCTCTTGTATCCCCCCTGCCTCCTTCCTCCCCTGGAAGGCAGTTTCCCCTATTATTAACATCCTGTATTAGTGTGGTACATTTGTTACAGTTGATGAATGAATACTGATATTTTATTACAATTATATTATTATTATTAAAGTGAAGTCCATAGTTTACATTAGGGTTCACTCTTGGTGTTGTACAAGTCTATGAATTCTGACAAGTGTATAATGTTATGTATCCACCATTACAGTATCATACAGAATAGTTTTACTGCCTTAAAAAACCTGTGCTCCATCTATTCATCTGTCCCTTCCTTCCCCTGAAATTCTGACAATAACTGATCTTTTTACTGTCTTTATAATTCTACATTTTCCAGAATGTCATATTGTTGGCGTCTTTTCACACTGGCTTCCTTCACTTAGTAATACTCATTTAAGTTTCCTTCACATCTTTTTGTAGCTTGATAGCTCATTTCTTTTTAGCTCTAAAAAATATTCCATTGTCTGGATGTAGCAGTTTCTGTATCTATTCACCTAATGAAGGACATCTTGGTTGCTACCAAGTTTTGGCAATTATTAATCAGGCTCCTATAAACATTCATGTGTAGGTTTTTGTGTGGACATGAGTTTTCCACTTATT